GCCAAGAGTGTTGATTGTGGAGACAAACAGACTAAAGCTGTGAACAATCTCAATCTCTTCACCATCCATCTTGATGCTGCCAATTGGTCCAGTGGTGAGAATTTTCGTCTTCTTGACATTGAGCCTCAATCCATATTGAAGGCTGCAGTCCTTGACCCTCAACAGCAAGCGCTTCAGGTCCTCCTCAGTTTCAGCAAGCAGGGTTGTGTTATCTGCATAAAGCAGATTGTTGATAGATCTTCCACCAAGAGAGATATATTTAAAATTTATTGTTATGTGCTGTCAAATTCTTGTTACAATAGCTCTGAAGTCTGCCTTCTTCTAAACTGACTCTGAAACACTTATCCCTCATTATTTCAGTTACTGTCTGTCAGTCCATCTCATCTGGGTTCTTCCTCTTCTATAACTGTCCCTCCACCCCTCCACCCATTGGCTCTTTATAATTTGCTACTTCCTGAAATATTTCAATGTCAACCAATTCTTTTTGGTACAGTGACTATTTCTTCCATCTTCTTTTAATACTTTTTGCTTCATTCTAAGTATTCTTAGACTCCTTTAGTATTGAAACTCAAGGCTTGAAGTCACTCTTCAATTCTTTCAACTTGAGAAATGTTTTGTAGTCATCTCTTTTGGCTTTCTAACTCCAACTCTTTGTACGTTTTGTCTTTCATAGCTATTCTTTGAAATCTGTTCATCTTTCTTACATCAGCACTTTTGGCCTCTGTCTTTTCTCGTGCAAGTTCCACAGTCTCTTCTGACATCCATTTTGGTCTTTTTATCCTTGAAAGTCCTTGCAATGACCTTTTGCTTTCTTCAGGGAGCTCTAGTGGGCTATTGAGTAAGGAATTGCACCACCAGTCCAAAGGCATATAGCTCAAATCCACCAGATGCTGCACAGGGGAAAGATGGGGAATCACCTCCTATGTGAAATACAGCCTCTGAAAACCTACTAGGTTCAGCCATGAGTCAGTTTTTACTCAACATCATAAAGCAACAACAATCTGCTTTCTTCATGGATAATGGCCTTGTTGTCATCCTACCATTGATCTAGTTTTTGCTCATTAGTTTCCAACACATACATAGATATTCTTGATATTGTTTTAAATTCAACTAGAATAGGTTCAGGTTGTATTTAGGTTCTCATGGACTTGTTTCAATTTTCTTCAGCTTTGATTTGAACTTTTACATGAGTAGTTTATCTTCTTTTTACCGTCAGCCTCTGGTCAGAACCAATCCCATTACTGACCCTCCATTGAGTTTCTGAGGCTGTACATTTCAGGAAAAGAGATCTTTCCCCCAGTAAGTCCCTGATAGATTTGAGCCTCAAGAGATGTGTGGCCTTTGAGTTAATAGCGCATCTCCATAAAGACTATACTACTGAGGCTGGTAATGTGTGTGTGTGTGTGTGTGTGTGTGTGTGTGTGTGTGTGTGTGTGTGTAACACAGATCCAAGAACTTGAGGAACAGAAACTTGGGGTCATTTAGGAGGGAATACGCAATTCAAGAGCACCACATCAGATACAGATAGATATAATGTCCCTGCTACTTCTAATGATGTCGCCAACGCACAAGAAAAATGTTTCTGTCTTCTTTGTTTGAGAAAACAGGAAAAAACACACCACAGAACACATATTTTCCAAATTATTTTTAAAAAGGAGAGGTTAAAATTCATGATCCCAGTTTACCTGGAAACTTTTATATGCATACACTCCCTAGAATTCTAGAACACTGAGAGATTATGTCATTTAATTTGTTTAAAATGAATTCTATCTACGCCATTCTGTTGCTGCCACTAGTAGTCAGTGCCTTAAAGATCCACGTATTTCATTTCTTCAGCTCTGCTGAAGATCCTGAGGCCATCCTGTTCAGAAACATTGTCAGTGAAGGACATATGTGGCAGGCGTGCTCTCTCCGAATGCAAAAATCATAGTGGGTTTCTTCTGAAATGACATTTCTCAACCTCCGTAGGTAGTACTGGCATTTTGGACTAGATATCTGATCTGTGCACTATAAAACGTTTAGAAGCATCCCTGGACCTAACAACTGGATGTCCCTAGCACACTCTTCACACCCCCCTCATTACAGTCATAACAACCAAAATTGTTTCCAGATATTGCCACGTGGACACAGCAATGCAAAATTTCCACACTGTCTTAAACAAAATTGCCATTTTGGAGAACTGAATCTCTGGAAAGTCTTTTATGGGACCAAGTCTGAATTTTGCTCAGTGAAAAATAAAATTAATATACTTTTTGAAGAGTAGTTTGAATTCGTGGTCATAAATTTTAGTTTTGTTTCTTGTTGTTGTTACGTGCTGTCAGGTAGATAAAAACTCATAGTGATCTTATGAACAATAGATCTTAACCCTGTCCTATGTTGCACCTTCCTCACCGTCTCCAACACACTTGAGTGCTTTGCTGCAGTTACTGGGTTAATCCATCTCATTGAGGTACTTCTTCTCCTTAGCTGATGCTCCACTTTTCCAAGCATGATATTCCTCTCCAAAGAATAGCCCTATTAACAAAATGGCCAAAGTATGAGAGATGAAGCGTCACCATCCTTGCCTCTAAGGAGCACTCTGGCATATATGTTTGTTCTTTTGGCATCCAGGATATTTAGCTCTTCTCCAATACCACAATTCAAAGGTGTTGATTCTTCTGTCATCCTTATGCATTGTCCACCTCTCATATGCACAGCAGATGATTGGAAAGACTATGGCTTGTATTAGACCCACCTTAGTTTTCAAACTGACATCATTGCTCTTCAGAATTTTGGAGCAGTTCCTGACAGCAGACTTTTTCCTAAAGCTATGTATATCTTCATCTCCTTACTACTGGTACCAAGAGTGTTGATTTTGAATCCAACTAAGAGAAAGCTTCTTAATATCACATAAACCTGTTCACAGTAAGAAATTAATGTAATACATACACATGCCACCAGTTTGCCAATGTCTGCCTAAAACAAGCTCTGCAACCATTGCAGAAACAAATACCAATAAATACCTGTCTTCTCAGGCCCTCAAAGACTTTCAGGAATTTTGTTATCAATTTTTTCAGTGAATCTTCAAATTCTGTCTTAGGCTAGGAAAACAGCACCTACTGCTCAGTTCCTAGTACAGAGACTAACTGGAAGGAAGTCTTTGAACTCTTGATGCTTAGGAAAGACTAAATTGAAAAGAGGCCTGGCAACTTGAAAAGGAAAGTGGAGAATTATAAGGTTAAGCAACTCCAATGTGCCTTAAAGGAATTTGTTGTGGTGGTGTTGTTAGGTGCCGTCAAGTCGTAGAGAACTCATAGCAACCCTATTAATAAAAGACCTGAGCACTGTTCATAGAATTTCCGGAGGCAAGCCATTTCAGAAGTGGAAGCCACTCCTGCTTTCAGGCTTGTTTTTATCGGGCTGTTCCACCAAACACTGTCTACCATGGGTAACCATCATCACATTTGGCACCTCAGTGTCACAGTGTTTAGCAACACAGCAACCATGAGTTATCTCTATACAGCAATGCACAGACCAGTGCTATACCACCTAGAAGCATGTTTCACAAAAATGCAATTTGAACCAGGAATTTATGTGATCAAATATGGAATAACTCATACATTTCGTCCTTTATCGGGATTGTGTAGAGAGCAGTATAATGATGTAGCCTGGCCGGGTATGGGTACCTAGTTAAGGAGACAGTGTGGTACAAGACATAAAGAACAATGTGTTAGCAAAGAAATCTGAATAAAAAAAAATCTCTAATTGTCATCCGAGTTGGAACTGACTTGATAATTGATACTCAACATACACTTTAGAGAAAATCACTTATTTTCTCTGAATTTATTTGGTCTCTTATGATAACAGTTACTTAGTGGTAAGAATCTCATCTGTCAATACTAAAACATGTTATTTGAATACACCATGAGAGAAAGATGCCCCATGAGAGAAAGATGAGTGATCTCTTTCCATGTGATTTATAGCCTTTGACAACCCACTGGAAATGGAAGGTCAGCTATGAATTGGTTCAGATTTGATGGCACATAACAACATACAGTGACTAATTGTGAAAGTTAAATGAGAAAACAGGCCAGGAATCTAGTACAATGTTGGATATACTGGAGATATTCAGTAAATGGCAGTTGTTATTGTTATCATTGCTGAAGTTCAAGTTGCTCTGAAAGAATTGGCAAAAATCAAGGCTCCAGGAGTTGACAATATACCAATTGACATATTTCAACAAACACGCTGGCCTGGAGGTATTCACTAAGTTGGGCCAAGAAATCTGGAGGACAGTCAGCTGGCCAACTGACTGGAAGTGACCCAACAGAGTGCAGAAATTATTTAATAATATCATTAAAGTCACATGCAAGCAAGATTGTGCTGAAAATTATCCCAAAGACTGGAGCAATATGTCAACAGAGAACTTCCAGGTGTACAGGCTGGATTTAAAAGAGGTCGTGTTACTAGGCATATTATAGCTAGTGTTAGATGGATCTTGGCAGAAAGCAGAGAATACCAGAGGAATGTCTATCTGTGCGTCATTGACTATGCAAAGGCTTTTGACCGTGTAGATCACAAGAAGACTCTGAGAAGAATGGGAATCCCAGAACATTTGATTGTGCTTATGCGAAACCTATACTTGGACCAAGAGGCAGTTGCCAGAACAGAGCAAGAAGGGGGTCTGTCAGGGATGTCTCCATAGTCTCCATACCTTTTTAATCTGTATGCAGAACAGATCATCCGAGACACTGGGCTGTACGAGGAGGAATGTGGCATCAGGATTGGTGGAAGAGTCATCAACAACCTGCATTATGTAGATGACACAACCCTGCTTGCTGAAACTAAGGAGGACCTGAAGCAGAGGGTCAAGGACTGCAGCTTTTAATACAGATAGAAGCTCAACATCAAGAAAAAATATTCTCACCAATGGACCAATTGGCAGCATCAGTATGGATGGTGGAGAGATTGAGAGAGTTAAGAGTTTTAGTTTGCTTGGCTCCACAGTAAACATTCTTGGTACCAACAGCCAGAAAATCAGAGACAAATTGCATTGGGAAAGTCAGCTGTCATGGACCTCTCCAGAGTACTGAAGAGCAACAACGTCAGGCTGGAAACTAAAGTGTACCTTATGTGGGCTATAGTCTTCGCAATTGTGTGCTATGCATGAGAGTGTTGGACAGTGACTAGGGATGATAGAAAGAGAATTGATGCCTTTGAGCTGTGGTGCTGGAGAAGAGTGTTGAATAGACCATGGATTGCTAGGAAAACAAACAGGTTTGTCCTGGAGAGGATGAAGCCTGGCTGCTCCTTGGAGTCAAGGATTCTGAAGCTTCGTCTGGTATACTTTGGGCATGTTGCAAGGAGGGACCCGTCCTTGGAGAGGGACATCATGTTTGGGAGAGTGGTGGGACGGCACAGGAGAGGAAGACCCTCGATGAGATGGATTGATTTTGTAATTGGGTGATGGGAGTAAGTGTGTCAGAGACGGTGAGGTTAGCACAGGATAGAGCAGGGTTTAGAGCTCTTATACATAGGGTCACTATGAGTCGCAAGCCACTCTATGGCACATAACAACAACAACAACAATATCACAATTAAATGATATTCGGTCAGAGGTAAGGCCATACAGAAAAGCCACTCGGTAGTTTGTTGTTGTTGTTGTTGTTAAATAGATAAAGAACGTAGACTTACCATTTGAAATGTATCTTTGAAATGTATCCACACAACATTTATCAAAATTGAGTAATATTTATCAACCAACACCTTTTCTGGGGTCTGATGAGCGTCGGCATCGGGCGCCTTAACCCGGCGTTTGGTTCATCCCGCAGCGCCAGTTCTGCTTACCAAAAGTGGCCCACTAGGCACTCGCATTCCACGCCCGGCTCCACGCCAGCGAGCCGGGCTTCTTACCCATTTAAAGTTTGAGAATAGGTTGAGATCGTTTCGGCCCCAAGACCTCTAATCATTCGCTTTACCGGATAAAACTGCGTGGGGGTTTGTCGTGCGAGAGCGCCAGCTATCCTGAGGGAAAGAAACTTCGGAGGGAACCAGCTACTAGATGGTTCGATTAGTCTTTCGCCCCTATACCCAGGTCGGACGACCGATTTGCACGTCAGGACCGCTACGGACCTCCACCAGAGTTTCCTCTGGCTTCGCCCTGCCCAGGCATAGTTCACCATCTATTCATCATCTATTCATGCTCACACCCATCTCTGCCCTCTAAAACAAATACTTCGCTTCTTTCTGTGCAAAACGACAGTCATTTTTCTTCCCTATTACCAGAATTTGAGGTTTTATTTCTCTATCATAATGTTTTCAGAAGGAAAAGACATAGTTTGTAACACAGGACACAGAAGGGAGCAAATATTCAGTAAAAGAAATTTTTAAAAATGGACAATTGTGGGGAAAACACTAGTTGATTCTGACACATGATGATCCCATGTGTGGCATATGGCGAGCCCATGAATGACACATGATGACCCCATGAATGCCACATGGTCACCCTATGCATGCCACATGATTCCACGCATGCCACATGGTGACCCTGTGCATGCCACATGATGACACTATGCATGCCAGAGTCAAGCAGTGCTCCCATAGGTTTACAAGACTGAGCCTTTTAACTGTTTGCTCAAACAAGGGAAGGCCTATTTAAAAGAAGACTCTTGAGAATGAAATGGTAAGAATGTTAAAGAAATACTTTTACCCTAAGCTACTAAAACCATAAGCCCTTGGGCACAGTTGAAAGAGAACAGGGATAAACTGATCACTGGTGTTGAACATGAATCTCCCAACCAGTAACTTCATTGTTCATGTGATATTCCTATTCAAGATTCAATTTGAATCAAGTTTAAAGGCCTCCAGGACTCTTGACCAGAGAGGCAATTATCTGTCAACTCTCCAGATACTGAACAGAGTTGTCTTCTAAGAGTAAAGTTAGGAGTCCCATCAATTCATCCTCCAACTTTTTTTTCTTTTTTTTATATTTTCTACTAGTTCATTTACAAAATTCAAATAAGTTGTTTTTAGGAACTAATTCTTTCAATTTCCTTCACCCCCCCCACTCATCAAATCGTACAACCCCATGATTAATCCCCCCTCCCCCTGCACATCCTCATCCCTCTGCTTCCAGCCTCTCCCACCCCTCTTGGATCCATATACTCATCCTACAATAACGGTTTTATACAATATTTGTCCTTGTGGGACTGAGTTAGTTCACTCAGCATAATGCTCTCCAGTCCCTCCCAAGTTAGGTAATAATTTACAAAACCATTGCTCTTGCATGCTGTGTAGTATTCCACTGTGTGAATATACCTCCTTCACTGTGTTTTCTCACTCATAATCAGCTTTCAAATTCTCTCCTCACAGAGATCGCCAGTGGAAGTTCATCATGTGCCGGATGACCGACTATGACTGTGAATTTGCTAGTGTTTAGACACGCCACATACCAAACCTAGGTGAAGAAAAACAGAACAGGGGCCTGTGAGGGTGCCCACATATGTTCACACCAGCTGGATTTTCTATAGATTTTAGTTCTCTCTTTTCTTCTTCTTCTTGAGCAATGCCAACATGCTAGGCCTTTCTGACTGTACCTCACCTGTAATAAAAAGCACTATTAAACCATGTTCTTCACTTTTAACACTTTCCGTAGCAACTTCTCTATATGACTGACAATGGCTTTATATATCCACCGCACATGCTCAAACCATGGAGAAAAACCTAGTTCTGGAGAATGTATCACATTCCTGTCAATGTCTTTATTGCAAAGAGGCCTGATGCAGAGCAGTGCTTTTGAACAGGATCACTGTGATGGGGTACAGGGCTACAGCCGAGGAAAAGATGCTAACTAGGTTCTATCTAGCTTCTCTGTTAAATTAAATCCAGAACCTTCCCCAAGGGCAGCTCCCTTGCCCTGATGGGCCATGCTTCTCCTCTCCCCCTCCGCACAAGCTTGCATGCTTAGAAGTTCACTTGCAGAGTACTATGTTCCAGCAATGAGGGAAATGGGAAGTGAGATGTGGAGATAGAAGAGTATGGAAAGAGAACTGATGAACTAAGTTCCGAAGAACTTCTTCAGTGAGAAAAAGAATTTTCACCTAGCAGTAATGGAAAAGTGTGCCAGAGGAACCTGAGGAAATGGGTCTCAAGAGAGCAAGAAGAGCGATGATAAAGAATGGGGGTCTGCTTGGCTTCTTGGGAAGGCGTGAATGATCAAGTTTCTTTGGGAAAGTGATCAAGTTTCTTTGGGAAGTAGAATAAGGGATTTAAGTCATTGCCACCTGGAAAAATACCCAGGAAGCCTGGGAACGGCTGGCATATGTCCTAGGAGCTACTAGGAAACTCCCTGGTTGCCTGAGAAGCCTGCCCTGGGGATCCAGTGACTTCTTAGGTGTAGAGGTGTTTAAAAAAAAAAAAGGTGGCACTAACCAGCAGCATAGCTAGGCAGATAAAGGGGTGCAGACTGTCCGAGTGACTCTGAGGAGGAATGATACCAAAATGAGTACCCATAAAGTTTTTGTGCAATGTTTTAGCAGAAATGTATTAATTTTTTAATAAAAGATCTCTTTAGTTAGTTAAAATAATAGAAACATTTTCTTAAGCTCAGCTTATACTTATTAATATACTTATAAGCTCAAATTTACTCTTTAAACTTTCTAATGCAATTAGATTAACGTTGTTATTATTACCCAATTACAATGTTCCAAATTATGCTCCTTCATCCGCACGCTCTATAAGCACACGCTGTTGTTTTCTTTGCTTCAGGTGGCTTTATAACTGCTGACTTTATCAAATTTTCTGGTGTTTTGGTTTCAGTTTTGCATTTATTAGCATTGTGAGTTTATATCAATAACTCTTTTTTTAAAATAAAATGGTATTAAAGAAAAGACAAAAAAATGTCAAAGGTCCCCGTTCAGTTACTTAAGTGTGTTCTAATTCAATGCAGAAATATTTTACAAAACAATCTTGTTAGTTTACAGACACTCAACTTACATAGAGTTCATAATTACCTTTTAATGTTGCATAAATTTGTCCTAATTTTGAAATACCAACCCATATTGGGAACAAAGGTAGCATTGATGGCTTCGTGGTAAGGTGTTACACTGTCAACCCTAACGGCATGAGATTTGACTCTACCAGCTGCCCTGAAGGAGAAAGATGGGCAGTCTTCTTCTACTCAATTCACAGCCTCTGAAAACCCACTTTGGGGGAGGGGGGGTTCTAGTTACGAATTTGTTCCATCTCAATAACACAGGACAACCCCACTGGCAACAAATTCTCCATCACAACCACTTTCACTTGCTGAGTGTGCAGCTTTTAAATCCTTACAAAGGCGTTGAGTCTTTTCTTGCACTAAACCAAAATCCTAAACTGAACCCACAGCTGTCCTGTGGATTCTGACCAACGGTGACCCTCTACTAGGTTTTCAAGGCTTCTGCATCTTTTTCCTATGAAAATGCTGGTGGACTCAAACCGCAAACTTTTTGCTCAATGATCTACCAAGTAACACAAGTGACTTGACTACACATTCCAAGAAACAATTAGGGACAGATCTCATTTGTAATCTGGGGATTTGCTGTATTCATATGATTGAAGAAATGTTACAGGTAAGCAACTACTGACTATGTTTATCACATGCTAGTCTATGATTAAAACATTTGGTAATGATATGTCAGATAAGAGACTTATATCTAGAATTTATAAAATACTTGAGTAATACTTGGTATTTATAAAATACTTGGTAAATAATCCAATTGAAAAATGGACACAGGATAGGAAGACACTTCACCAAAGATGACATTCAGATGGCCAACAAGAACATGAAGAAATGTTCAA